AGAGAGAGAGAGAGAGAGAGAGAGAGAGAGAGAGAGAGAGAGAGAGAGTTCTTCTTCTTCCTATTCTAAGTCCACCGCGTCTCCCTCACCCTCTCGCTACCTGACTTCTCAGTATCTGCCGACTGACTACGAGAGAGAGAGAGAGAGAGAGAGAGAGAGATTGGTGACGTTGGGACTTGACGACATTTGGATTCAGACTCGACATTGGGATAGAGACATTGGACGAGGGATTATTTGGGACCTATATCGAGGACTTGGTGTTGACGACATTCCCATCTTCCCCTCTTCTTCGTCTGATCCCCCTCCTCTTCGTCTGTGTATGTTTTGGGACTGGCGCGTTCTTCCTGTGTGAGGGCCAGCCCCCTGCACACCATGCGATGATGATGATGTATGTTTGCTCTGCATTGCGACATTGATTGGTGGGATCATTGGTATTTTAGCCTCTCGCTGCGCTATCCTGTACTACGTGAGAGCGGTTCTTGTTCTGGTCTGTACTGTTAAGGTATGCAACAGGTCGGGGGTTGGGTGGGTTATGGTGAGGGTGTTAGTGGTGGGGATCAGCAAGCACGGGCTTCAGCAGACATTGTCAACAACCTACCTGGCTTTCTGCAAACGTTAACCTTCTAGTGGCAGGGTAGGGACGGTACTTCCCACCCAAAAACTTTGGAACGGGGGGTTGGGGTTATAGTGTTAGGGAGTGCTTGTCACTGCTGTCTGGTCCAAGTTGCCCTTGATACTGGCAGGGTGATGGTCCTGAGTGCTGGTCACACTGGGGTGCTAGTGGCAGGATGTGGGGTTTAAGCGGGGTATCGTGGTTTTTATTACTTTTTAACGTGATTGTGTAGGGCGGCGGGTCGGGGGGGGGGGGGGGGTTGTACAAGGGAGCATATCGGGGACATCTACGGGGGTTCAAAGGGGCTTTAAGGGCCTCTGCACGCCCTGGTGGGGGTAGGGATGGTACTTCCCACCCAAAAACTTTGAAAAAGGGGGTGGGGGTTATAATGTTAGGGGGTGCTTGTCACTGCTGTCTGGTCCAAGTTGCCCTCGATACTTACTGGTAGGATGATGGTCCTGAGTGCTGGTCACACTGAGGTAGGATAGTACGGATAGGGGGTGCGCTGGGGGCATTAACGTGGGGAAGGGTAGGGAAGGTGACCTATCCTGTCAGGACAACCACCGGCTGCGACTGCCAGTTATCACCGTGGGTCTAGTCCTTGGCCTCAACAACACCCTGGGGGGTAACCGGTCCTGTCGACCGGCCGGTAGGACCGGTCCGGTTCCGGTTGGGGGAAGGCCCCCCGGTCCTACCGGGTTTGCAGCTCTAATTACCGGGCGTTCTATTCGGGGGAAGACGGTAGTCGCAAAAAGGTGAAAAAGTTACGAAAAGCTATTATGCCATTCAATTACCCTAAACTACCCCGAGGCCAGCGTGGAATTTTTTTTTTTTTTTTTTAAGGGCCACGGTCTTGAGATATCATCATTGAGGTAACCGGCCGCAGGCAATTCAGAAATATTTGGTTTCGCTCATCAGGTTCCGTACTCCGGGTTCGAACTCGGGCCTGTATTTCAACAGTTCAATGGTGTACCCACCACTGAGCTAGGCTCTTGGGTGGGCCAACGTGGAATTTAATCTTATTCGACTGTCGAATTTACTATTTAGTGGCGACTAACCCTATATTATCTATACAGCAGAAACAGCCACACCAATTCCTCACCTATACCCGATTC